CAAATGTCTGTTCGGTGTATCCGTTAGGATGCATATGGCTGCAAATTACCAGATTCCCGGTTTAAAAACTGATTCAGTAAGGAATTTGTATGATAGAAGTCCATAAATAGGACATTCTCCAGGTAAGAACAAAAGAACTGCTTAATGCCATTATGAAGGATCTGTTTTTTCTCTCATAAGACTATCCCCAGGGCTCACTTCATTCTATTTTTTTATTTTTTTATTTATTTATGATAGTCACATAGAATGAGAGAGAGAGAGAGAGAGAGAGAGAGAGAGGCAGAGGGAGAAGCAGGCTCCATGCACCGGGAGCCCGACGTGGGATTCGATCCCGGGTCTCCAGGATCGCGCCCTGGGCCAAAGGCAGGCGCTAAACTGCTGCGCCACCCAGGGATCCCCTCACTTCATTCTAATATGTACATCCATGTGGTCGCAAAAATGGTTCCAGAGATGGCCAGAGCTGCTACACGTTCCTACTCAGATTCGGAGAGAAGGAGAAATTTGAATAAGATTTGATTCCCCTAACCCATATTTATTGCCAGTTCTAGTCATGTGCCAGCCTGAGTCTGAGTACCTGGACCACTGCAATTTTAAATGTGGAGGTCAAGGTAGACTATAGCTAGATGGGAAGAGCATACCAGGCAAGGAAATAGCAAGTGCAAAGGCTTCAATGTGGGACTCCTCCTGGTGTGTTCAAGGACCAGAAAGGAGGCAGTGTGATCAGGGGTAACATCGAGTGGGAGAAGAGGGCTCCCCCTTCTGTATGCAGATCATACAAAGGGTTTGACTTTTATTCTGACTGAAATTAGAAGCTGTTGTTGGCTTCTACACAGGTGACAGACATAATCAGATTTGATTTAAAAGGATGAATCTGGCTGTGGTGTTGAGGGAAGTCTATAGAAAGCAACAGTGGAAGCTACTTTAGTTAGAAGACAACTGTAATAAACCAAACTAGATATGATGATGGCTCAAACCTGGGTGGCAGTAGTGGAAGTGGAGAAAAAAATGATTCTGAATATATTTTGGATAGAGTGGACAGGGTTTGCTGATAGATTGAACATGGGCTGTAAAGAAATAGCAGAATCAAGAATGACTCTATAGTTTTCGGTTCAAGCAACTAGAAGAATAGAGTGACCTGGATGGCAAAGAATGTCGAAGAGCGGTTCAGGAGGCATGATCAAGGGTTCAATTTTGGACATGAGTTTGAAGTTCAAGGGAAAGGTCTGGGCTAACCATATACATTTGGCAGTCCCTGCTAGGCAGATGGTATTTAAAGCCTCTAAACCGGTTGAGATCACCAAGGGAACAGGTGTACATAGAACAATGAGCCTAACCTTGGGGCACTCCAAGATTAAGTTAAGGGAAAAGAGAAGGGACAGCAGGAGAAGCTGAAGACTGACCAGTGAAGTAAGCTAAAATGTAAGAGAATTTGGAAGACAAAGAAAGTGTCCAAGAAGGAAGCAGTAATCACCTGAGTCAAAAAACTACTAATAGGTCAAGTTAGATGAGATCTGAAAATTGACTGTTATATTCAGCAATGGATGTGGACATGGACGATCCTGGGAGCTGTTTCAGGGGAGTAAGGTAGGAGAGGTGGCCCTAGAGTTGATTTAAGAGATAACAGGACAAAAGTTGGGAGATCATGAGAATAGTCAACTCTTTACTATGAAAAGGAACGAAGACATAGGGGTAATTATGACATCAAAGGGGGTAAATGGCATGTAGTACTTTTTTGGTTTAAGGTGGAAAAAAATAACCTCGTGTTTGTCTGCCAATGGAACTGATACAGTAGGGGATCCCTGGGTGGCTCAGCGGTTTAGTGCCTGCCTTTGGCCCAGGGCATGATCCTGGAGTCCTGGGATCGAGTCCCACGTCGGGCTCCCTGCATGGAGCCTGCTTCTCCCTCTGCCTGTGTCTCTGCCTCTCTGTGTCTCTCATAAACAAACAAACAAACAAACAAACAAACAAATAAATAAAATTAAAAAAAAAGGAACTGATACAGTAAAGAGAAATTGATGCAGCTGAGAGTGAAAACAACTGCTCCTGACGTCTTTGAGTAGGAGACAGGAAGACAATCAGATCTAGTGCACAAGGGAAAGGATTAACCTACAAAATTGGCCTGTGGAAAAGGAGAGAGGTCTGTACATCTGTTCAGATGCTGGTGGGTAGATTAATGCTGAGATTCCGTGGAATTTTTTTTTCTGATACATCAGTACTTTTTTTAAAAAATATTTTATTTATTTTTTCATGAGAGACTCAAAGAGAGGCAGAGACACAGGCAGAGGGACTTGATCCCAGGACCCCAGGATCACAACCTGAGCTAAAGTCAGATGCTCAACCACTGAGCCACCCAGTACTCTTAATAAATACTCTCAAGATCATCGGCTGAGCATTAAGGATGGAGGAAAAGATAATGGGAACTGAGGAAAGAGAAGGCATAAAACAGTTGTCAAGGGGACCAGAAAAGTAGACTCCAGGCACATAGCCTGACAGCCTGGCAGCATAAAGGACCCACTTGAGAGTCATAGCTTTGATTTTAGATTGAGTCCAATCAACAAGTTTTTATTCCCCACCCCACTTCCAGCTACATTCTGGTACATGGATGCAGAGCCCCAAATTAGAAAATTACATCTAATCAGGATGGTAGATTTGTTAAGAGAGCTCAACAAAGGCAGAGAGGAGCAAGAGAATGGAAAGTATATGCTTTCCAAGAGAGGGATTATACAAATTGAGTGTGAACTTTACAGATGAAGAGAAAAGTAAGGACATCAAAAGGGTAGGGTCAGAGAAAAGGTGGCAAGACTTTGGATCTGGTATCCTGGTGAGGAGGAAGGATTGTTGGGGTCAGAGTACCCAGAGGGAATGCACTACAAAGACAGGTGGTGTGGTCAGACAGTAAATTCATGAACTAGAAATTACAGAAGTGGTGGTTATTGATAATCACAAGTTCTAGGGAGTGATCATGCGAGTGACTGGCTGAAATGGAGTGGAAGATATGATTATTAGAGGAGAGAATGAGTCAAAGAACTGGGCGGACAGGGTTTTGGAAAGATCATTTGCTCAGCAAGTATTTCAGACCTCCAAAGATTAAGATAGGATTAGTACTGGAGATAATTGCAGTGAGCAGGAGCTGTAGAGTCTAAAACCGAGAGAGAAGAATTAAGGTGGGGGAGAGCAGTGAATGACAGCACCAGTGAAGAGCCATGAGTGACATAACACGATGACCTAAAATCCAAAAGTCAAAGGCAGTTTTAAGGAGTTGGGAGGGAGGGCAGCCCGGGTGGCTCAGTGGTTTAGCGCCACCTTCAGTCCAGGATGTGATCCTGGAGACCCTGGATCAAGGCCCACGTCGGGCCCCCTGCATGGAGCCTGCTTCACCCTCTGCCTGTGTCTCTGTTTCTCTGTGTGTGTGTCTCTCATGAATGAATAAATAAAATCTAAAAAAAAAGGAGTTGGGAGGGAGCATGGTCTGATACTGCCAACAGTGAAAAATACCAGAAATTTCATGTAGTCCGTATAGATTTCACATCATCTGGCATTTCCCATAAAATTCTTGCTTCTCTGTAAACCAGAAGATCTGGAAAAGCAGGCCTTGTTGACTGCTTCACTCAGCGACAGTGATTCGTGCCTAGGAGAGTTTAAGGTTGGCTCAGCAACTCCGTAGCTAACACTTGTATCCTCTGTTGCTCAGTTTATTCAGGTGGTTCCTTTGAGAGGTATAGGGCTTCTTTAATGGTCTTCAGATGGACGATATAAAGCTTAGCCATTTGAACAAAGGGATGTAGAAACCTTTGCCCAAATCGTGTAGTCTTTATCAATTTTCAAGTATATTTTGTGCAGAGAACGACTTGGCAATTCAGACAAGGGTAGGAGTACAAACTGATCGCGTATCATCAAATATTGGTCTCTAGGGGGCACCATTGCCAAAGGGTACAAATCTGATGGCTTTCAAATTGGGTGGCTATTTTCCAGTCGATGGCCGTTGTCCCTCTACAGTCATAAAGGTCGGGATCTTTCTCACCACTTTCAAAGCATCTCCTGTTTTTGTCAGTAGCATTTGCATCATGACCGTGATGGGTTTTACAGCGTACTCCAAAGAATAGGTCAAGACAATCGTCAATCGTACTTAAACTCCATGTTGAAATCGTTTGGACAAACGATTCTGTCCAAAACTTTGAAGCTTTGAAGAAGGAAAAAAGTAGTCACACAACGTCTTATGAAGAAAGCCCAGGGCAGCCGGGGTGGCTCAGCAGTTGAGCACCTGCCCCTGGCTCAGGGCCTGATCCGCAGCATCAGGATCCAGGCCTGCATGGGGCTCCCTGCATGAGGCCTGCTTCTCCCTCTGCCTACGTCTCTACCTTTCTATCTCTGTGTCTCTCATGAATAAATATATAAAATATTAAAAAAAAAAAAAAAAAAGAAAGCCCACAGAAGAAAAGAATGTAGTAAAGCCAAGGAACCATATGGAGAATGGGCAGCCTTATGGACAAAACGAGAACAATTTTCTTCTGCTTTTGTTCTCTCTTTTGTTTTCCTGTCGCTGGTTTTTTTTTTTTTTTTTTTTTTTGGCGTCTCCCAACAGTCACTTCATATATGCACATTTGTCCGACTTCGGTACAAGTTGCAGGAAAAGGTGCCAACACCTTTCGCATGGTCGTCTTCGGCAGAGTGATTATTTTCTTCTTCCAGTTTTCCTGGGCTTTCCAAGTGTTCCTCAGTAAAGATGCGCTGCTTTCTGGCAAAAAAAAAGAAAGGTAGAGTCGGATGCATTTTGCAAAATGGCCTGTCGTCGTGCAAGCGCCGGCCCAGGGGGAGCCGGGGGCGCCGCAGGCCGAGGCCGAGGGGAGCCGGGGGCGCCGCAGGCCGAGGCCCGGGGGAGCCGGGGGCGCCGCAGGCCGAGGCCCGGGCACCTCGCCGGGCGGCGCAGTGCGTCATGCGGGCCCGCCCCCCGTGGGGCTCGGCGAGCCGTGCAGCCCGGGCGCCGTCGGGGGGCAGGATTTCCGCGGTTGTGTAAGCGCTGCTCGGGGCGCCGAGAGGCCTGAGCTCCGTGAGCTCCGCGTCCCCGCGGCCGAGCCATGGCCTGGGCGGCGGGCGGCGGGGCCCGCGGCGCGCTGTCGGCGCACACGCTCCTGTTCGACCTGCCGCCCGCGCTGCTGGGCGAGCTGTGCGCGGTGCTCGACAGCTGCGACGGCGCGCTGGGCTGGCGCGGCCTCGGTGAGTGCGGCGGCGGCGGCGGCGGCGGCGGCGGGGACACGGGGCGCGGGGGCCCCGGGCGGGGGCGGGGCGGGGGCTGGGGCGGGGGCTGGGGCGGGGGCTGGGGCGGGGGCCGCGGCGCGCATGCGCAGTCCCGCGCCGCCGCGCCCGGGGAGGCGAGCCCGCAGCCGCCCCCTGCGCCCCGAGGCCGGGCTCCCCGTTCCCTCGCGGAGACCCCGGGCCGCGCTGCGGGGAAGCCAGCTGGGCTCCCCGACCCTGTGCCTCGCGCGGTTCGGATGCTCGCAGCCTCCTCAGGGCCCCAGTGGCCCGGGTCAGAGCTCCTGCTGCAGCGCAGCCCGTCTCTGCGGTCAGGCTGTGGGGTCGGCAGGGCACCTCCAGGCGCGCATCTCCTCACATTTCAGGTGACAGGCTAGCGTAAAGCACTACTTTATTCATGAAAATGCGGCTCCCGGGATTCTTAATTAAATATCTCTGGCTTATTGACAGAGTTTCTGGCGTGGAGGCCGATGCTCGATGGCTCGTGCATGTCTTTTTATTTGGATCTAGAAAGTTGGCTTTAAAGCCATTGCAGGCAGCCATTGGGAGGTCGAGCCACTGCCTTTTGGAAGTCTTGAGTGTGATCCCTGGACATAATTCAGGGGGAAAAAAATCTTTGTTTTGTTAAGTATGGGCACTTTTTTGATAAATGTGATCTTCCATGATGCCACGTTTAATATTAGTTGAAAATAAACACAATTGTGTCCAAACAACCTAGCCTTAATTTAATGAAATAGTCCCCCCTCCTTTTTTTTTTTTTTTTTTTTTAAACAAGACTGTCAAAAGACCTATGAGAAAAAAAGTTTTACTGTTGGTGAACGGTATGGTGAACTTCTGGAATGCGGCATCGGGCTTCTAGTTATATAAAGATGGTTTATGTGTTATAAACTCTAATTGTATTTTATTTTTTTGAACTCTAATTTTAAAGTGTGACCCTTATGTAAAAATGTCAGAGAAGAATACTTGACTCTCTGACTTCTAGAAAGCATAGAGATTCGCAGGATGCGTTTGAGCGGTAAGATCCTCCCACACGGGGTCTTTTTGAAATGGATAACATAGGCAGTTTTAGCATCCATTGGTTTCCTGGAATTACTACATTCGCAAGAGAAAAAGGTTTTCAGTACCGTCACAGGTAGTGAATGGGTCTAGGTAGCTTCATAAATGAGTTAAAGCATTTTGAAGGCTGACAACGGAAGAACATGTGTCCCATCTGAAAGGGACAGTCATCGTCCCATGTCACTGCTGTTATTCAGCAAGTCCAGTCCAGTATTGCTGGACTCTGTCTCTCTCAGCATGGAAATCCAGATACTCATGCTTTACAGGGGTTGTGTCCTCTACAGCTACCCTGTGGGGTGGGTGCTGTTATCATCACCACTGTTTTAACAGATGAGGGAATTGTGGTGTGCATTAATTCATACTGGCCCAAATGGACACAGCTCAGGAATAGCAGAGCCAGAATTTGAACCATGACAGTTGGGTCCACGGCCTGTGCCCTTACCCGCAGCCACTCTACACTTCCTGACATGACTTCCTCAAGTTCACAAATACTGACCATTCTTCTCTTTCTGCTACATCACCCAGCCTATAGTACATTCATTTCAGCCAATGAAAGAACAATTCAATGAGCCGTTTCAAACATGCAGCCCCATTTTTTTCTAGCTGTGGAAATAAATAAAGACCCCCGAAATGAGAACAAGCAAAGGCTTTTTATTCAAAGCAAGTGAGTCAGCCACCGTCACTTGCATTTGACAGAGCCCCAAAGGCAAGCAGAGGAGTGGAAAAGCTTTCTAGTAGAAAAAAGAGAAGGCTTCAGGTCTTCCATTATTGGAGGCAGTTGGCAAAGAAGCTCTGGACAGGCCAACTAGTAGGGGGGCATTCTGTGTAATTGTTTAGGGTGCAGAGTTGGCTTTTTCCAGATGCTCCTAAATGGGAAGCAGGGGCAAAAATTAAGGAAGCTGGCAGTTGTTAATTAAGTCCTAACTATGTGGGACTGATTGCTACAGGGATTTTTGTTTGGCTTCCTGGACTAGTTGCTACAGATGCTAATATGACTTCCCGGACTAGTTGCTGTGTATAGTGGATTGGCATCCTGGACGGATTGATGCATGGTGTGGGTCACATTTCTATTTTTAGATATAGTCTGGCCATTGTTCCTTTGTATATCCTTTCATAGGGGAAGAATCTAAAATTTCTGGTCCTTGATTCCCCAGCTATAGTTTGCTGTGCACGTAACGAGACTACATAGCTCAGAAAGGAGACCGAGGACAGCCCAGCTGCTTCATGAATTACTGGCTCAGCCAGAAGGCAAGCCGGGCTCAGTTCAGGGTGGTTGAGGGCAACTGTTCATTTTAAATATGCTGAGTTTCCCTGTTGGCACAGTGAAAGGAGAAAGATGGGAAGAGGTGCAAGAAGGGAACACTTGACTTTAGAAGGTGAAAGGGGAAAAAAATTTAAAAAAAACTAAAAAATTAAAAAAAAAAGAAGGTGAAAGGGGGAGTAGCATCTTAATATACCAGTTATTTTACCACACTGTCACTTCTCCACTTAATTTTTTAAAAATCTTTATACATATTCTATGTCTAAATTCTTCAAATCACTCTTATCATGTATTGTTAAGAGTAGTATAATCACAAGGTAATACACTCTCTGGTTAATGATGATTGGATGGCTCTGTAATGAAAGGAGGAGCCCAGACTGAAGATATAATGATTATTTCTTTTAATTTTTTATTTATTTATGATAGTCACACAGAGAGAGAGAGAGAGAGAGGCAGAGACACAGGCAGAGGGAGAAGCAGGCTCCACGCACCGGGAGCCCGATGTGGGATTCGATCCCGGGTCTCCAGGATCGCGCCCTGGGCCAAAGGCAGGCGCTAAACCGCTGCGCCACCCAGGGATCCCAGATATTATGATTATTAAAGTCCATATGTTATTAAGATTTCCATCATTTTGTCCTAAGCCCCCCTTCTCTCTCCCAGGATCCCATCTGGAGATTACACTGAGTCATCCTGTATTCTTAGGGACCCTTTTTGCTGTTATAGTTTCTCAGACAGTTCTCCTTTTTGATGACCTTGATATCCTTACCGATGTTAACAGAGCCTCTGGTGACAAGTCATCTCATTACATTACCGTGGGGTGGTATTTGAATTGAAGTTTGGGGATCCCTGGGTGGCTCAGCGGTTTTGCACCTGCCTTTGGCCCAGGGCGTGATCCTGGAGACCTGGGATCAAGTCCCACATCAGGCTCCTTGCATGGAGCCTGCTTCTCTCTCTCTCTCTCTCTCTCTCTCTCTCTCTCTCTCGGTGTCTCTCGTGAATAAATAAATAAAATCTTAAAAAAAAAAAAAGAATTGAAGTTTGGAGCAGTTCACACTGTGACACCTTTCACAGTCATTATACGCTGAGAAAGAAACACTTCTACAGATAGTCTGCATCTGGGCTTCCTCTCAAAAAATGAGATAAGTTTATCATAGAAATTATCATTAATCACTTTAAAGCAAACTAAATATAAAATCACATTCAATGTATATTTGCATATTCAATAAAGGATCAGAATAATAGTAATAATAATAGCTGCCACCTCTCGAGTGTTTACTATTTGCCAGACACTCTGTGCTAAGCACTTCACATGGATTATGCCATTTATCACAAAAATTCTGTGAGGTAGGTACTTTTTCTAGTCCCACTTTATAGGTAGGGAAACTGAGTCTCAGAGAATTTAAGTAACTTACCTGTAGTCACAGTCTAGTGAAGCACAGACTAGGATTCTCATCAGATGGTCAGACTCCAGAGCCTATGGTCTTTTTTTTAAAAAAAAAAAGTTTAAATAGGCTATTGTTTAGAACAGTTTTAAATTTACAGAAAGCTTGAGAAGCTTGTACAAAAAATTCCCATCTCTTATACCTTTCACATACACTCTGCACTCAGTTTCCCTGTTATTCACGTCTTATATGAGTGTGGTATATTTGTTAGTATATCGATATATTATTATGATTATTAAAGTCCATATGTTATTAAGATTTCCATCATTTTGTCCTAAGCCCCCCTTCTCTCTCCCAGGATCCCATCTGGGGATTACACTGAGTCATCCTGTATTCTTAGGGACCCTTTTTGCTGTTATAATTTCTCAGACAGTTCTTGTTTTTGACGACCTTGACAGTTTTGAGGAGTACTGGTCAGTACTAGTCTACCATTTTGTAGAATGTCTCTTGACTGAGATTTGGCTGGTGTTTTACTCACGGTTAGAGTGAGGTTATGGATTTTTGAGAGGCCAGCAGCAGAGGTAAAGTGCCATTCTCATGACATCATATTAGGGGCACACACTATTTACCTGACTTAGCGCTGTTGATGTTAACCAGAGCGAAGGTAGTGTCTGTCAGTTTTCTACACCCATACTCTTTCTTTCTTCTCCCCTCTCTGCATACTCTTTGGAAGAAAGTCACTATGTGCAGCCCACACTTAAGGAATGGAGAGTGATGCTTCCCCCTCCCTGAAAGTGGAGCAGAGCCTCTTGTTATTTTGAGGACCATGGACTTTCTCCCATCTTACAGTGTTCTCTCTCTAGATCTTATTTTTACCCTGTTACCCCCCCCCCATTTCTCTTAGGATAAAGTTCTGTAAAGGAGCTATTTATATTACAATCCCTCCATTCTCCCTTGAACCTGCTCCAATCAGGCTCTTTCTCAGTCCCCACTGCTCCATTAAAATACATCTCTTCCATGGTTAAGGTGGCTAAATCCAATCATCAGTTCTCAATTTCCTCTATGATATGTGTGTGTGTATATATATCTATAAAATATATATATTTAAAATAAATATATAAAGTAAATATAGGGATCCCTGGGTGGCTCAGCGGTTTAGTGCCTGCCTTTGGCCCAGGGCGTGATCCTGGAGTCCTGGGATTGAATCCCACATCGGGCTCCCTGCATGGAGCCTGCTTCTCCCTCTGCCTTTGTCTCTTCCTCTC